TTGTGTTCAAAATGTTATTGTTTTTGGTCATGCATAATTCTGAGATATTCTTTGACATTTGGATAAGTGATATTAATGACTGGTAATCCAGCCCAATCAACAGTCCTGGTTCTTGCTGAAAGCATATATTATCCGATAATTAAATAGAGACAAAATCGATTGGCATGTCATTGATCCAATCAGCACAGAGGTTTGAATTTTATTAACGAGTTAGGAATTCAATAAATTATATGACCTTGGTCTAAATCTTTGAGAAAAAAAAATGAATATTCTTTAATTCTTTTCGAAATTGAAGAGAAATTCAAATTTTAACTTGAATTTAACTTTTGAATTTGATATACCAGGTAATGTTAATATTATCATTTTAACAAGACATAAAGAATAAAACTTTGAATATTTATTGAAGCTTGAAATTGAAAGATAATAATTTTTAAGAATTTTAAGAATTATATTTTTATTTTCTATGTAATCTACAATCTTTAAAGATTAAGTCATGTTGAGCTGTAAAATCAATATATTTAATATATCATATTTCCATTTCAAGAAATACAAGCTAATTTTAAAAATAAAATCTATATTAAGTCTTGGAATATATCAGGAATAACTAATCTCATCTTTCCTTAAGTGGAATCTTGCACAATATCTGTTGTTGCTCGAGGAATGCTGTACACTATTGTGGAATTCATGTCTGACATTTGATTCCTGCAACTATTTTTAGTTCTGAGATTTTCAAGAGATGCTTTGAATTCATTGATTTTCACCACTTTACAAGGTTAACATCGGTCATTCAATAAATCTTCACAGTTTGTTATGTTGACAAACCACAATTTGAATTTTAAGTGAAATATTTTCTGAAGTTTAACATATTGAAGTATTTTTAGAAATTACAAGCTAAATATAGAGCTGATAAAGTTGAAGTCTTATTATGGTCTCCTGGCTAGTAGGGTTAGTTAGCCGTAAGATAGAAGTTTTACATTTTATTATCTGTTTTGATGGTATTAGAATTAAAAAAGGAAAGAACACATTGAAGTTTTTTATAGATTGACAGGCATGGTGACTTATCTATTAATAAAACCTCTGTCAAACATTTCTTTAAGCTCTGTCAATCTTATTTCAATCATAAATAGGTGAAGCTTGTACTGCAATTGTCAAGGAGACTGATCAAGTAGAAATCCTACCTTCTTTGCTATTTATAAATATGAGCAAAATTAAATTATCTATTATTTGAAACACCAATGGCATCTCTTTGTCAAGCTTATGAGGTTGAGATTTTTTCATTGCATTGATGATGTAATGAATTCCATTGGCATTGTGCTCTATACCAAAGAAGGCCACATTAAGTACTGTTATTGAAGTGTAAATCACAAACTGTATTAAAATCGAAGTTAAAATTCTCATGAGAATTGATTTTTGATGCTATTTCAATTTGGCCATAAAATAAGATGTGTTGATAATTTAAAATTATTTGAAATTTAGTAATCTGGTTAATATTAAAACTGACATAATAACAGAGAAATTGGCAGACAAGGTCATATGAGGGTGTTAAAACGCCTAACACTTCACTCAACTCTACTCAACAGAACATATTTTTTATATAAATGTGATAATTGCTGCGGTACATCGTTCAAAATTTCTAATGAATTTTAAGTTTGTCAGAATGTCTAATATTTTTACATGAAGATGGCTGTTGTTATAGAGAGAAGGCTATTATTTAGTAATAAATGTCTTAAAATAACTTATAGAACTTCTGAAGAGACTTGGCAAGTTTCAGTACCGGTACTTGTATTATATGCAATGCTTACACAGAATGTTTTATCTATCCATTATGTTGTTTGTTGCATATTCAGTTTTTTTTTACATACTTTTTATCATGTGTAGAACAGTTTATAACAAACATCAATGTCAAGTTTTATGTAGGTGGATTTTTCTTTGAAATGAAAGAACATTAAATTGAATTGTATTTTCCAGAACAACCTTGCAGTTTTTTCATGTTACTTTGAAATGATAGAACTGTGGATTTGATTGTTTTTTTAGTTGAAATCTTATAGTTTATTTAATGTCACATAGTTCAATATTCCCATTTCTCTAACGCAATTTTCATAATAGTCTGTTAAGAATACAGTTATCATACTTTCACCGTATTTCACCCTGGAATTGATAGTATAAAATAATAATCTGTCAATTCTATAAGTCTCTATCGTCTGCTCAGTGAAATTTATCTTCATTTTCTACATGGTTAAGTCTGAAATAGAAACTCTCAGTATCTTAGTTTTCAGATATGATTTATCTCAGCTCGCTGCAAGGAGAGATTAGAATATTTTTCAATACAATCATTAATTATGTAGGAAGGGGATTTATCTGATCATATATACCATTTACTAATGTCAAAAGATAATAGAAAGAATTTGTAATTAAAAAATATTATGAGCATTGATTAATAGCTCAAGGTAGAAAATTTATGGAGTGAGATGTTTGTTTATTGCAGTTGGATACGATTGGATCATCCTTTGAATGTTTGAAAAATGAATGCATGATATTTATAGCTTGATTGGATACACTCTATAAAGTGTGGTAATATATTGCCTGTGATTTTGTACTCTAGAGTTATAGATAAGATCGATCTATTTCTTTCCTCTAGGTCTATATATTTCTTTTGTTTTGGTTGAAATTGAAAGTCATATTCCTATAACAAAAGTCACTAGTTATCTATTCATTTCTTGAAAATTTGACATGTTTATAATGAATTCTGGTCACTCAATATCTAACTGTTAGTCAGTACTTAGTTTCAATCTTTCAATCAGTCTAGATCTTTATTGAGTATACTCTTGGGTATAAGCCTCTAGAATATTACTTTATATGGAGTCTTGTCTGTATTTGAGACTGAGAGTTATTGTCTTTGATGACAAATGTGTTTTTAAAAAAATTTCAGATTATAGACTTACACTCTCTGCTATTTTGTTACTCATGATATTTATAATATATACTTACACTCGTGAAGTATTGAAATGCACATGTGAATATGTGACTTTTTAGTGCACAAAAAACTCAAAGGAACTGGAGTGTGAGTGTTAACCATTGAATACAAAATCAAATCAAAGAGGCGTAGATCTTACACTAAGTGCTTGATTTCATATCCATTCAAATAATTTCTCTAAAATCATTCGTCAAAATGTCAAAATATCATTATGATTATTTAAAACAATTTATGATTTATGGCAATGTATTGGCCTGTCAGGCAGCATATTACTGTTCACTTGGTTCAGGTGTAAGAAGTAATATTCTGATCAATTTACCTGTTATCAATTTACATTTAGGTATGGAAGTTTAATATAGTATTGAAAAGCCGGTTAGACATCACTTGCGTTTCTCGGATGTCCAGTAATTAGAGAAAAATGTTTTAAACTAGTTTGTGGTTAAAATTTTGTTTTAATTCTGTTAAGACAATTTGGAATGTAAATTGTGCGTTTGGTAAAGTTTTTTGTCTGCTATTTGTATAATTAGATGGTTATTTGTAAAGCCATTAGTATTTTATAGATTATAGAACTATAAACTCTGTCTAGTCTCTGTATATTGTTACAGATTAAACATAGCTTACATTGATTCCTTCCTCTAACTAGAATTTCTGGGTACTTCATCCATTTGTCATTTCAAGATGTTTTCCATGGTTTTCAATGAGTTATGTCAACCGAAGGCAATTACAGTTTTTGTACTTTTTCCGTTGCCAATGGGTGACACTATGACAACTAAATCCCATACAAACAGATAATTAAATATAAAGTTTTATCATGTCTAAAAAGTTTGAAATATTTTTTTGGTTTTCTTCTTCTGCAATTCTGAAATCAGTTGTTAAATTTATACAAAATAAAGCTAGATAAATTGTCTGAAAGGAAATAATCTTCCAGAATGAAATTGAACTAGTTATTGTGGAGGTATTTATTTGTCTGTTCTGAGATATTGCCTTAAAAGAGTTCTGTTTGAACAAAGCCTGTCTTTATTATATAATATATTGGTTGCATTCAGTTTATTGGGCCATTATTCACACAGACCCAATTTCTTTCATGACCTTTTCTGATGTCAGTTTTATTTCTTGTTGAATATGGAGATTATCTCGACATTATATAAATTCTGTTCAATATGTCAAACCCATTTATCATTTATTGGATTATAGTTGATTTTAAATGAGATGAAATTTGAGAAACTGCACTTCATTACCATATAGTTATCATTTGTGACTTAACTCTTGTTTTACAATGATGAATTAAGCCAATAACTTCGTAAATTTTCTTTTGAGTATAAAAGTGTTGATCTTTTGGTTGAAAATAAAATGGTGTTTTTCCAGCATTGCTTTCTCATTGGTCAGTGCAGATTTTGAAGAATGTGATTTGATCAAAGTAAATTTATATAGAGAAAGATATAATGTTCTATTTGGTAACTGGATATTGAGTTCAAGTATTGTTTTGCTAGATTGTAAATAACCTGTAACATATCATACAACAAGTTAATAACCTATTTTATAGTATGATTCGAATAATGAATTTCTATATTGATTTTCTGTTTAGATCAAAACTATATCAATGCGTTAAACCTCCGTCTCACAAGGGTAAAGTCACATCAGGTTAATGACCTCTACTTCCTTTTACAAATGTGTCAGTAGTTTGAAGTTTTTGACATAAAGTATGTCTGATATGCAAGATTCTGCATATTCGGAGAGTTGAGAAGGAAAATAATTCACTTTTGACATCGTAGGGCTATTCTGTAATTTTCTTCATTGTACACTTCAGAACATTGTGTTTTTCAGTGAACATCTACAGCACAGACTGTTGTGTAGTTAATATCAATGCCGCATTATATATATAGTTCATTGATGGGAACACTAAATGTAAACTAATTCATTCACACTAGTTGTTGGTGACAGCTGGGCCAGTGTTTTTATGTGTCATAATGTAGACAGCCAGGTTTTTACACCTCAATAAATAAAAACTATTTTTTATTGATTTCAGGTTTTAGCTTGGTTTGAAGAAACAGAAGAACAGATCACAGCCTTTGTTGAGCCTTTTGTTATTTTAACTATTTTAATTGCCAATGCTATTGTTGGTGTGTGGCAGGTGAGTTCATATGTATTCAAATTTGGAAAGAGGGGAACAGATTGTTCCACAGAAATGTGGTACAGAATTACGCTGTTTGGCGAAATGAACAGTAATTCATTGCTGATATTACCACTAATGTGCAGCATAGTATCAATAATTCCAACAATAGAAATGGCTTGATTCAGAATCATAATGATAGTTATTGCCAGCGGTCAAAGTCTGCCGTAATAATAGAATTTGAATAAGATAACATAACATTGGTTTAGGTTACAGAGCCATAGTTATTCTTAATAAAATTGTGATCATATGGAGTCTGTATTTTATATAACATTGGTTTTGTCTTTTGTCAATTTAATGGAGAAATTCTAATTTTTCAGGAAAGAAATGCAGAAAGTGCCATTGAGGCTCTCAAGGAATATGAGCCTGAAATCGCCAAAGTTATCCGACAAAACCATAAAGGTGTTCAGAGAATCAGAGCTAGTAACTTGGTTCCTGGAGATCTGACAGAAGTTTCAGGTTAGTTTCATGAATTGAGTTGATGCTAAAACCAAAGACCACTCTGGGGAATGAGAACAGATTAAGCTAACCAAACAGACTTCAAATTTGTAGCTTTAACCAACTGAAATGTCAAAGACCATTTCATTTCTTCAAATAATTCATAATTAGCTTGTTCTTTAATTCTGATATTTTATGTATTTTCAGTTGGTGACAAGGTTCCAGCTGATATCCGTGTTATAGCTATTTATTCTACTACATTACGTGTAGATCAGGCTATCTTGACTGGTGAGAGTGTCAGTGTATTGAAACATACAGATGCTGTTCCCGATCCACGATCTGTCAATCAAGACAAGAAAAATATCCTCTTCTCTGTAAGTAATTTCTAGAAAAATATCCTCTTCTCTGTAAGTAATTTCTAGAAAAATATCCTCTTCCCTGCATGTAATTTCTAGAAAATGTCCTCTTCTCTGTAAGTAATTTCTAGAAAATATCTTCCAATAAGCAATCTGGATATAATTTATAGAGAAGTGTCCTCTTCTTTTTAAGTAATTAGTGTCCTTTAGTCTGTAAGTATTCCTAAGTGAAAATTTCCCCCTTTGTCAAGTTACTCTTCAGTAATCTTAAGAAAAATACTTTACATATTTTTTACTGTAATAAGAATAAAAAATATCACAGAATACTGAATGAAAATCTCTTATATTACAGTGTTGGACTTTTCTAAACTGTAATGAATGATGTTATTTTTGTCTGTTTATTTCCAGGGTACTAATATTGCTGCTGGTAAATGCCGTGGTATTGTCATTGGTACTGGATTAAATACTGAAATTGGTGAGTAATAGTACTTGTTTAACAAGGTGCCTTTCTATATTGATGTCTCCAATAATTTGAAATGTGCTGGACAATGTCTCTTGAACACCTGACTATCCAAAAATCAATTATGTCTGTTTTGGATAATTTATCCACTCCACAACATATTCCTGAAATTAGTTTTGCAAGCCTAATGACAGAGAATATCCCAATCTTATATTGACAACAATGAAAAACTCAAAATGGCATTGCAATATATAGATTTGAGTTCAATGAGGATATATTGAATTTATATATATTTTGACATTTTCTCTGACTATAGTAGTTATTTTCTTGATTTTGAAAATAGAAACTTGAAAGAATTTAGTTCAATGTCAGTATAATCTAAGTTTGGCAGCCATCCATTTCATATTGATAGACAAGATAGAAAGGTTTCTTTTTGTTTTTATTTATTATACTTTTCTTTCTCTAAACATCTCCACATGTTCTTATTAGTTTGCTTATAAACATTAAGGCATTTATAAATGCTGAAATTTTACCGTTGAAAGCTGCCATTATTTGTTAATTTGCCAGATATATATACTATGATGCATTTTCATTAGATAATTAATATGCTAATTTAGTTAAATTTCTTGCAAAACTCATCAAAATAATTGTTTTGAAGATCTGGTTCTGGAATTTATCTTACTGAGATATATTAATTAATGTTTTTGCACGTCTGGAACGCTGCTTTCCGACTATGCTTTTGCTTTGTCATGGTTTCAATAAAAGACATGTTTTCATGTTTGGTGGGTCCTGATTGCATAGGCAGACTTAGTGCCAAGTCTCATGCAGAGCTTTAAGATCAGAGATGTGCATATCATCTCTTTATTCAGCTCTGAAAATACCTAAGACATAATCTCAAGCATCTAAAAAAAACAAAAACATCTCTACTCAATATAGGATCATTTGAATTATTACATCTCAAACACCTAGAATCACTTGAATTATTACATCTCAAACACTTAAAATCACTTGAATTATTACATCTCAAACACCTAGAATCACTTGAATTATTACATCTCAAACACTTAAAATCACTTGAATTATTACATCTCAAACACCTAGAATCACTTGAATTATTACATCTCAAACACTTAAAATCACTTGAATTATTACATCTCAAACACCTAGAATCACTTGAATTATTACATCTCAAACACCTAGAATCACTTGAATTATTACATCTCAAACACCTAGAATCACTTGAATTATTACATCTCAAACACTTAAAATCACTTGAATTATTACATCTCAAACGCTTAAAATTACTTGAATTATTACATCTCAAACACTTAAAATCACTTGAATTATTACATCTCAAACACTTAAAATCACTTGAATTATTACATCTCAAACGCTTAAAATCACCTGAATTAATTATTACAACCTAGTAAGCCATATGGAGTTTTTAGTTGAAAGTTGCAAATTAGCAAACTGTGTGAGCATGCCAGCTATAGATTTTATTACATAATAAATTCAAGCAATATAAAATGTTTATATGTGACCTGTATAACATTGTAAGATTGAAGATTCTCACCTGGTTATTTCTATATACATCACCATACACCCTAGGTTGACCTTTACCATTCTCTACAGTTGTTATAATAATAGACATGATGACTCAAGTACCAACTTTCTTACTTTCAATTTCACCTCTCAATATCACATTCTTCATTGTGTCAAGACATATTGCTCCACTTTGTTTATTTAGCAAATTGTTAGGATGCTGTTTTCATTCATTCTATTCTATATTTATGTGCAATTCAGTAGTTAACATCAAATGACAATAAGCTCACTTTTGATCAAAACTGTTTTAAAAAAGCAGGAGGCAGGACTGATTAATGAATTCACAAAATTGTGAAGGTTATTGACATGGATCTAGACATACCGGCAAGATAGATAAGGTGATTGACTTGGATATAGACACGTAACACTGGCAAGGTAGATAAGGTTATTGACATGGTTCTCGCCTTATTACACCAGCAAGTTGAATAAGGTAATTGACATGGATCTAGACATATAACACCAGCAAGGTAGATAAGGTTATTGACATGGATCTCGCCTTATTACACCAGCAAGTTGAATAAGGTAATTGACATGGATCTAGACATATAACACCAGCAAGGTAGATAAGGTTATTGACATGGATCTCGCCTTATTACACCAGCAAGTTGAATAAGGTAATTGACATGGATCTAGACATATAACACCAGCAAGGTAGATAAGGTTATTGACATGGATCTCGCCTTATTACACCAGCAAGTTGAATAAGGTAATTGACATGGATCTAGACATATAACACCAGCAAGGTAGATAAGGTTATTGACATGGATCTAGATATATATAACAGCAAGGTGGATAAGGTTAGTAATATGGATCTAGACATATAACACCAGCAAGGTAGATAAGGTTATGGACATGGATCTAGCCACATAACACCAGTAAGGTGGATAAGGTAATTGACATGGACCTAGACATATAACAACAGCAAGGTGCATAAGGTTAGTAATATGGATCTAGACATATAACACCAGCAAGGTAGATAAGGTTATTGACATGGATCTAGACATAAAACAACAGCAAGGTGGATAAGGTTAGTGACATGGATCTAGATATAACACCGGCACAATGGATATGGTCATTGACATGGATAGGCATTTAACACTTGTAAAGTAGATAAGGTTATTATACATAGTATCATTTTTATGTAGCAATGTTAGTATTTAGTATCATTTTACCAAAAACTCACATATATCTAGAAAAACAAATAAGTGCCGAGTTGCAGAAGATGAAAACCATATTTTACATGACTTTAGTATGTATTTACTGTTTTCACCGATAAACTTCACTTGATGAGTGATGACTTGACAACAAATTATAACTTCTACTCTTATTGGCACAACATGTTGATGTATTCTCTAGCATATATATGAAAAGACAATTCTGACAAGTGTTTTGGGTAACTGTTCTGATCATGGCACCTTTGGCACAGATCAAAAAACCTCAGAACGATGTTATACGCCCACATCTCTCTATGTGGACGTGTATTGTCAACACCCCTGTCCGTCTGTTGGTCCATATTCATAAAACGAAGATCAAATTTGAATTTGAGCTATTTTAGACCGTTAGAAACAGAGTTATTGCCTTTGCCCCAAAATCTTGAATATGCTATTACTCTCCTAGTTTTCAACCGATTTTGATGAAACTTAAAATGGATATTATTGGACCTAAATTGAAGGGTTTGAAAAAGTGAAGTATACTTCTGATTAAATTTAAGGCTTTTTCAAGATTTAGGCCTCTTACATCAGTTTTGAGGAGTTATCGCCCTTTAACCTCTATACAGTAAGTGCTTCTATCAACATCAATTGCTCATAAACACTCTAAAAACTGTCCAGCGGTCCATCCGTCAAACAATTAACACTTGTAAACGCTCTACAAACTAGATTTTTTGATGGAATCAAATGAAATTCAGTATGTGTATACATATTCATAAAACGAAGATCAAGTCCGAATTTGAGCTTTTTTCGACCGTTAGAAGCAGAGTTTTTGCCCTTGCCCCAATATCTTGAATATTTACCATCCGCATGCCGTGGTGGTGTATATGGCTGTGGTCCACTCATTAGTGTCAAATGCGCCAAAATAATCCATTTAGATGTTTAAAACTGCTCTAATATAGTTATTAAATTCCTTATTTTAGCCCTGAAATAACTCTTGATTTTTGTCTGAGTGCAGGACAGCCTTTATCTTTGAAAAGAATGTAAGTGGAGGTCACGCAATTAAGTCATTGACTGAAAATAGAGTAAAAACATATAATTTAAAAATACTTTTACTACATAAAATAGAAACATAAAATAATCTAAAAATAAATTAACTCTAGATATATATATATATAGATGATTGAAGAATATGATATGAAACAAAAATAATCATTTAATAATCTTTTAAAAAAACAATTATGAGATATATATCAAGGTTAATGAATGAATTACTGAAACCACCAAATAAAAATATAAATGTAGGTGATATTTAAGGTACTCTTACATAAACTAGATCACGAAATCTAATTTTAGTTTGTGTTTTATATTTGGTTGTGGTATCATGTTCATTTGTGTCACAAATAGCCTTAATTAGAGAGAAAATTTCAGAAAATAGACTTCCAATTAATTTTGATCTGCAAAAAAGTTACAAGTAACACAATATAAATAGAATATATTCACCATTTTGGATACCAACTTCCTACTGGACATACGTGTAAAAACGGTCAAATTTTGGCCTTGTACAACTTTCATCATCTAAATAAAAAGCAATTTTTTCAAAACCTAGAAAATGAAGATTTGACAAGTGTATATTAAGAATGTAAGTAGAGATCTCATTGCTTGTATAAAATGAAGGTATTATTAATAAAAGTACTAAGGTAGTATGGTATATAACGAAGATAGATAGGTAACTATTACCTATCAACATATGTTTATAATAGATATATAGATTATAAAAGCTTTAACAGTTGGCTAGGCTCAATAGTTATGGATGGTACCAATGCCAATTTCCATTAAGATGTACTTTAATCAAGGTCATTTTCAATATTTTACCTTAAGTTTTACCAAAACTGCTCTTTATTAGTTATCTTACTATAATTCTACTGAATCTAGCATCTTTATCATTGGGTTAAACTAACTGCACAGGCAATGCTCTCTCAGTGGTGGTTATGCCTACATTCCTGTGCCTGTGCTTTCATAACTTAATGCTAAAACCTGCAATTCCTACATCTAATGATATTCTCTGACTTGAAATTGAATTTTTTGTTTTTCAAGATGCAACATAGTTTGCAATTTCTTACTTTCTTCGTAGTAAGTGATATGTTGAGAAAATGTATGTTATCTTGCAAAAAATCCATCTTCTTATTTTACATCATTTTCTTAAGTTTAATATCTTAAGCAATGTAACACAGTATTTCGTGATTACAATATAGTTCCAAAGTAAGAAAGGAAAAAATGTGAGGCTGAATTGAACCTAATTAAAGTGGGCTAAAAATATCTCTGAATTATCAAAAAAGCCACAAAACTTGACAGTTTGACATTTCATAAAAAGTTTCTCAAATGGCAATGACCACATGGTTTGAAAAGATACCAAGAAAATATTCTTGAAATAACAAGCAAGATGATTTTTTTAACCATTGCACGTGAATTGAGTTGAGTCTAGTAGCAGACATGTAAGACAATATCTTCTAATGTTATCAGTTTCAATACACTACATGTTCTTTTTCTACCTATAACTTTATATATTATCTCCAATATAATGATATAATTAAATGCTGCCGGCTGATAAGATAACAGTTCAAACATTTGGCACCATTTTCCGATCTTTGAATACTCAAGGAATTATCTTTGGCCTTTTGCTTTCACCTTGCCCGCTGTAAGATTGCCAGCTCCAAATAAGGCAAGGACATGCAGATGAGAGTATTTCTAGTAGAGAATACCAATGAAGGGGGATAACTCTTATCTTCACTGTTCAAGAGTGGCAGAAAGTGTAATTTGTATTATAAATATATAACTTGTGGTATTTAAAGAAACACAGCCCTCCTTGCGCTGCTCTATTTTTTTTGTTTGCGTCTTCCCATCAAGCCAGCTGTTTTGAGCGTCTTGTTTCCAAATTTTTGTTTAGATAATGAAGAAGCCATGATAAATTCTGACAAGAAAAACGTCTAATGGCTTATAATAGACTCCAGTATTCTGTACCTGAAGCTATCAATTTCATCACCTGATTTCATTGTGTGTCTGCCAGTGAAAATAGAACAGTATCTAACTTGTAGTGGTCTGAGGCAGATATTAGCTGATCATTGCCAATAACATCTCATTATACTCCCAGTATCTTAATATATTCTTAGTATACAAAATTGTTTACAAAAAATATTACATCCTTGTTTACAAACCTATGTTATAATACATTATGCTTCACATTGACATCTGCCATCTTCATCCAGCTTTTGTATTTCAAAACTTAGCATTCGATAGAAAGTGAAATATTTCTGTTATTTCGCTAGTTTATTAACATCTTCCATGTTTATTTCTGTTGAAAATATTGCCATTGAACGTTCTATCTTTAGAAGTATTTAGTTGATTTCAAGACCTTTGCAATATAGCATTTAATTTCCCAAATTTACCAATTCAGTTCGAACTATAAACATGATTAGATAGTGAAAATAGCCAACAAAATTAAACTCCATCAAACATTTGCCAATTGAAAATAATTAGCTTTGTAGATTTCAAAAGTGATGCTAAGTTAGCGAAGATCATGAGTGAGTGGCAGCAGTTTTAGTTTTATATTAGCGTACACAATCATGTAGATATAAACTAGACTTCAGTATTTAACAACAACAAAATATATATAAGCTTACATATTTAAACATAACAATAGACACTTCAAATATTCTTACTTATGATAATTTAAGAAATAGTATTTGGCTCTAGAGTTTTATTGCCATTCTTACGCCTGCCTATACCTATATCTCATATTCTTAACTTGACATGTCTGTTTATTTCAGGTAAAATCCGAAATGAAATGATGGACACTGAAACTGAAAAAACTCCCCTTCAACAAAAACTTGACGAATTTGGTGAACAGTTATCCAAGGTTATCACTGTTATCTGTGTTGCCGTCTGGGCCATTAATATCGGTCACTTCAACGATCCTGCTCATGGTGGCTCCTGGATGAGGGTAAGTTATGAGCAATTTTTTTTAGAGGGAAAGGGCTTTGTGAGAAAGATTTTACTTTTGTAGAGAATGAGATAGAACATTTGGAAAAAAGGATTTCAATTTTTTATATAGTCTCATTGTCCTATTTCAGGGTGCCATCTACTACTTTAAAATTGCTGTTGCCCTGGCTGTAGCTGCCATTCCAGAAGGTTTACCTGCTGTCATCACAACCTGTTTGGCTTTAGGTAAGAGTCATCCTTACTTTCACTTTCAAGTAATTGAACCATCAGCATGAAAAAATTGTCAATTTTGCTTCTACCTGAAGGAGAGTACCAAATTGTTCATGACAAAGTGAATCTGAAAGCATCATGTGATGCATTGATCTTATAAAGACCATCTTCATTATAAGTGTAGGAAATTGCTATATTATAAAGTAGGCCTACATGTATATATCCATAAATATAATGGATTACAAACATACAGATGAGAAATTTGATGAGCAGACAGGAGAGGTCATTGGTTTACAGAAACTCTTTTCAAGCTATAATCCAAATCATGCATTCTGAAAAATATATTTAGGTACCAGAAGAATGGCCAAGAAGAATGCTATTGTAAGAAGTTTACCATCAGTAGAAACATTAGGTTGTACTTCTGTTATCTGTTCAGATAAAACTGGTACATTAACAACTAATCAAATGTCTGTGTGCAAGGTACGTTCAAACACTTGTTTTCTTCTAATTGTATCCATTAACATCCAGCTTCGACTGATAAAATGATAGGTTTTGTGTGAAACAATAGTCTTGATCTTATGGGGTATTTATGATTTTGTCTTACTGAGTCGTGATATCTTAGAAAGAATATTCCTAGTCTGAGCTTATAGGTCTTTATGGAATTTGTTTTGAGCAGACTTGAGTGGATAATGATCAATTCTTATGTTCTCAATTTTGTCCTTTCTGATAGTATTTTTGCTTTTATAAATAACCATTTTATGGCAAAACTGATGAATTTTTCAGATGTTCTTGTTCAGTAAGATTGAAGGAAATATGATTGAAACTAGTCAGTTTGAAATTACTGGTTCTACCTACGCACCTGAAGGAGAGATGTGAGTATTTCTTGACATTCAACCAATATTTGCTTGAAATAAGTGCTCTAAAGTGAAATGCTCTTGAATAATAATTTTGTTCAACACGTATAACATCCAAGTTGAAATACATGTAGTCAATTCAGTAGCCATGAATTTGTTTTCTCAAAATGAATAGGAATTCTAAAAGGTGACAGTAGTGACATGATGTACATTGTCATCAAATGTGTTATTGTAGCTAATAATTGATCTGTTGTATATTTTCAGCTTTTATAAAAGTCGTAAGATTAAGTGTGGTGATTTCCCAGGATTAGAAGAAGTGGCTGTTATTTGTGCTATGTGTAATGACTCTAGTGTAGATTACAATGATGTAAGTTGTTTATCTTTTTGTTAGCTTTTTGGCAAAGGTCTCTAGGGCTTATTCCCATTTTCCCCCTTCCAAATTTGCCACATTAGTTTATTTCCATTTGTCCCCTTCCCAATTTTTCTGTTATGTCCATGAAGTTGTACAGACAATCCTTCCTACATACACTTTAAATATATAGAAGAATACCAAAGACTAATGTCTGTTATTTAATCTTGTAGGCCAAAGATCAATTTGAAAAGGTTGGTGAAGCTACAGAAACTGCTCTGACTGTATTGTGTGAAAAGATGAATGTGTACAACACTGATAGAACTGGACTGACCAAACGTGAAAACTGTACCTGTGCCAATCAAGTCATCCAAGAAATGTGGAATAAGGAAGTCACTTTGGAATTCTCCAGAGATCGTAAATCTATGAGTGTGTATGCTGCTCCTAACAAACCAACCAGAATTGCCAATGGCGCCAGAATGTTCTGCAAGGTAAGAATTTTATGTCTTTAATATACGATCCACAGCTTTTATTTATTCTAATCTGTTTCAGTAAAATACTAGATTTCTTAACGTGTAAATTTTACGAACAGCAACAGGGCTTGATTAAATTATAGAAAAGTCTATAACGGATTGGGCTTTAAAAGTCTCAAATATAAATTTGGTAGTTTTAATAGAACAATTTTGACAGTGTTATTATTCTGAATTTATTTGCTATATTTCAGGGAGCTCCAGAAGGTTTATTGGATCGTTGTACCCATGTTCGTATCGGAGCCAACAAAGTACCAATGTCACCTGCTATCAAGGCTGAAATTGTCAAACAAGTGAAGATCTATGGTACTGGAAGAGATACCTTACGTTGTCTTGCTTTAGCTACTATTGATAACCCACCCAGAATTGAAGACATGGACTTGGAAGACTCGAGAAAGTTCATCCAGTATGAGGTTGGTTTTAATATATTAGCACAGAAATTCTCATTAGATTAGTAATTTGTCTGCCAAAGTAATTTGGCTGCCTGGATTTATATCTAAAGTTTCAATGTTTTGCCTTCAGTACCCCAGTGTGATAGCTCAATCTAAGCAAGTTCCAGTTTCAATCTGTTAAAACAATTTTATGCCATTCAGTTTGAATTCCTTTGTGAAAGTCAAAAAATTCAAATGCCTTTTGCAGTTTTATGAAGTTTTGTCCAATTGTGTTTTAATATGTTGATTATCTTTATTTCAGACTAACATGACATTTGTTGGTGTAGTTGGTATGTTGGATCCACCCCGTGAAGAAGTCAAACAATCCATTGTTAATTGTGCTGTTGCTGGTATCAGAGTTATTGTCATCACTGGTGACAACAAGGTAAAGTTCAATTGGGATCAATGTTATGTCAGAATTAGCAGTCTGTTTATCAATTTCTTTTCATGTTCCAAAGATGTTTTGTTTTGGTTAATTAACTGGTATTTACAGGGACACATTATTTGATAGATTCTGACACAATCTCTTCTGTCTTTATTTAGGCTACTGCTGAAGCTATCTGCAGACGTATTGGTGTCTTTGGTGAAAATGAATCTACAGATGGTTTGGCTTACACTGGACGTGAATTTGATGAACTGGCTCCAGAAGAACAACGTGCAGCTTGTATGAGAGCTAGGCTATTTGCTCGTGTAGAACCTACCCATAAATCAAAGATTGTAGAATTTTTACAAGGAGAGGGAGAAATTTCTGCTATGGTGAGTATTCAGTAATACAGCTTAAAAGTGAAATAACTAACCTTGCCACTTGCCAGCTCCAAGTAACTTGACATCCATGATTTTAAACCTTTTCTGCTGGCTGTGGTAATTACTATCCCTTCCATGTGATGATAAAACATCATTTGACACAAGGATATCCCTGATCTTATGAAAAGTGAACTTTTTCTATTAAACAAGGAATTCCAAATTAAAATGTACTGTTTATTATAGACTGGTGATGGTGTCAATGATGCTCCTGCCCTGAAGAAAGCTGAAATTGGTATTGCTATGGGTTCTGGTACTGCTGTAGCTAAATCTGCTGCTGATATCCTTTCAAATAACTTTCAAGTTACAAACTACTTCATGAGCATGGGCTATACTTGTGTTGTCTATAAATTTACACTTAATATGAAATCTGGATTGGATTGGATTGTAAAATTTCATATATGATATAAAAGTTCCATGTATAATGAAAGTATTCATTGACATTATGATCCTGCTGCAAATATAGGCATTTTAACCCCATTGTCTCAGATGTGGATTTTTAAGTATTTTATTTCCTCAGTCAAATTTATTAACACATTTAAAATTTTGGGGGGTTAAATATGACTCTTTTGTGGAAAATATGTAATCCTTAACCACTGTGTACAGATGGTATTGGCTGATGATAACTTCTCTTCTATTGTTGCTGCTGTTGAGGAAGGTCGTGCTATTTACAGTAACATGAAACAGTTTATTCGATATCTGATTTCTTCCAATATTGGTGAAGTAGTCTGGTAAGTTTTCATAGCATTTAATAAATTTTCCATTATTGCTGCTAAAATTATTTTTAAGATATTTGAAATCTCTTCAGTTGATCTGTTGGTCGTTTATCTGTAACTTCCTCATTGTTTATCTCTTGTATTTCAGTATTTTCTTAACTGCTGCTCTTGGTATCCCTGAGGCTTTAATTCCTGTCCAACTGTTGTGGGTCAACCTGGTAACTGATGGTTTCCCTGCCACTGCTCTTGGTTTCAATCCTCCAGATTTAGACATCATGAAGAAACCACCACGAAATCCAAAAGAAGGTCTTATTACAGGATGGTTGTTCTTCAGATACATGGCTATTGGCAGTAAGTTAAGATATATTTTGACCGGTTGTATGTTAGGTATAGTTAAGGGATCATGGATCTTGTTGAAGCTATTCTCCATAGCACTGTTTGCCAATAGAACAACTGCTGAACAAGTTGTTTATTCCAAGATGACTTTCTTGGATCCTTGCATTGTGCATGTCCACCATACATATACTATGATCTCAATATGATTATTTCCTCAGACTTTTGAACTCCTGTTAAAGAAGACTAATCTTATATGTTTGTAGACTAAATATTACACTACCAAGCATGAACTGATCTTGGCAATAATACTTCCAACATTGTTTAAACATCTTTCCCAATGATTATTCATTTCAGTATATGTTGGTTGTGCTACTGTCGGATCTGCTGCCTGGTGGTTTATGGTTTATGATCATGGTCCCAGACTCAACTACTATCAGTTGGTAAGAAACCAGTTTCAATTTGTGGTACAGCAAGGAAACCCAAATTTTTCTGATATTTAAAAATCAAGTAAAAATTTGTTCTATCAATGTCAGTCTGAGTCAATTGTTTAATTCAAATCATGAGAAAAGAATTTATGAAATTTTTCATTAATGAATAATTTGAAGAATTGTGTTGTATGTATTAATGATGAACTTTTTTTTAATATTAACTTTTCCACCCTTCACAGACTCACCATATGCAATGTCCTGCTGAGCCGAAAATGTTTAAAGGTGTCGATTGTTCAATCTTTACCAATCCACATCCTATGACTATGGCCTTATCTGTCTTAGTTACTATTGAAATGTTAAATGCTCTCAACAGGTAAATCAACTGCTCCATGCGCGCTGCTGCTGCGAGCGTCTGCTATGTTTTAGGATAGAGTAATGTCCCTTTGTTTTGAGATCTTCACAGAATGTTTCATGTAAAATTGAACCAATTCTGATTCTCAGAACTGTGGACCTTACTGCATCCTTTGCGCTGCATGCCCCATTTTTACCCAACAGTTGCTGTATGGCACTGTTGGGCAGGTTTTATTGTATTGGTTTGAACATGTTGCTAACTAGTTCCATTTCACAGACCCATCAAGCACAGTGTCTGAATCAAGATGAGATGTTTGCAGGCATTGATTGCAGTGTCTTCCGGCATCCAAAACCCATGACGATGGCCTTATCAGTTTTGGTCGTCATAGAGATGTTGAATGCTCTGAACAGGTAAGGCAGCCAATGATTTGAGGCTTGATGTTCAGGAAGTTTGCTTGCCGTGTGACAACCGTAACGTTTATTCGTTAATCACTAGAAGGGGTGGTGTTATTTTCTACGAGGCAAGTTTTGGAACAATTGACGTCAGATACTGGCTCTATGCTTGCATGGTAAGAGCAACACAGGTACGACACAAGGGTGGTGAAGTTGTTTGAAATTGATGGTGTAACTGGACTCGGATCGGCACCTACTTTATCGGATCCATGGCAGTTATTGAAGCTGTGTTGGATATATACAAATTTCTTTAGCTACATTTTGGAATCCAAGCTACAAATAGCTGCCGATCTGATCCGCCTCTTGAAAGTTTGTTTAGAGGCTAAACCAATGTGTCGTCCAGCCAGTTAAAAAAAAGTTTGAAATTAAAAATCACTCACCCCCCTTCTGTGGTACTGGTTGTTCATTTGACGGTGACTTACTTCCTGCATGCTCATAGCCTTGCTAGTTGGCTCCCTTACCTTGTCATCGTAGCTTTGATTATCAAGCCAGATCTGAAAATTAAGAATCAAAATTTTAACACTTGCCTTTTTCAACAACTAACTAGTTCACATTTTTGTCTTGGAAAAAAAAAACACTTTTTAAAAAATTAATTCTTTAAAATAATTGCCCGCTTTCTTTTTTTGTTGTTGATCTTTAAGATTTAATTTTCATAGTGTAGAAAAGTTTGATTTTGCTTACATGATTAGAACCATTTGTTTTCAATTTTTAATATTTTTATTGATTTGAGATAAAAAAAAGAAATTTGACCCTATTATCTCAGTGAATCAAGAAATATCATTATCTTTGTGTTCAGAATGGGTGATGAGGCAGTCATTTTGAATTTTTGATGCAGATTGTTCTTGAAGATGAAGGTAGTATCATGATGATTTTATGCCTCGTTAAAATTCAAAGCACCATGGGAGAGCTTCAGTTCTTCTCAATTTATCTTAACATCTGCTATCTCTTGGCTTGGAGACCAAAATTTAGGAACATGTTCAATTTCAAATCGATAAACCTGAATGGGAAGAGGAGTAAAATACATAATCTTATAAATTCTAATCATGATGACATATTTATCAATATGTCAAAAGGTTTAAAAAAAAGTTGAAAAAATTTGAAAATATCAATTTGTATTTTACTCCTCCTTTTTTTTTTAATAGTTTAAAGTAGGAATTAATTTTGGCAATTTTTTTTTTGAGATAGAAAACCTGTCTAATGTATTTTCCATTTGACTTTCTGGAACCACTATTCCCATTTCCTTCAAAGTTTATGTCAAATGAATTATTTTATGATAAAAAATTTTGATTGAAATGGACTATGAGTTACTGTTTACATTTTTTGTCACCTTCATGCAATTGTTATCATCAGACAACAAATAGCTTAAATTGAATATTTTGATAAATACAGGCAATAATTATTTTATTAAGTAAAGAATTAGAACTAGACAAACCTTTGTCAAGATACAATTAAGTAATCATGATAAAGTAATTGTAACTTATTCCATTACGTTTTAAAGTTATTAGCTCAAGGTGTATTCTATCTCAAATAAAGTTCAATTGTGCTTTTTATGAGCGATTAGCATGTTATTTAGTACTACCATATTACCATAGACACTAGATCTTCAATGTTATAAACCTCAAATGGTTATAGATGCAAAGGAAGTAAATTGTAGACAAGATGAGCAATAATAATTAAATCAAAAATGCACTGAAAGGATTTCAATGAATTGAAGAAAATTTGATTAAATTAAAAACTTTGCTATTGGATCAATTTCAAATGTTTTGAATGTTCATGGTATTTTTCTTTCAGTTTATCAGAGAACCAGTCATTAATGGCCATGCCACCATGGTCCAATAAATGGTTATGTGGAGCTATTGTACTCTCTATGTCTCTGCATTTCCTTATTCTCTACGTTGACGTCATGTCCGTAAGTTGTTTTATCTCATTTTAGAATTTTCTAGACCATTTCACCTAAAACTTACCCACAAGATTTTAAATGTGAACACTAAACATCTGAAAACAGTTTTTTATTTAGTATTTGTACAATGTATCTTATAGCTACATTGATAGCCTGCGAAACATATCGAGACATTCTTGCATGCTACACACATTGGAACTTTTACTGTATCTAATAAGTTGGTGCATTGGCAGTGCTGTCCATATAAAAATTTTCTTGTTCACTGCAATCTTAGTCTTGGGCTCAAAAAGATTAACCTTGTCCAATTCCAATCTTAATAGACTGCTTAAATTCCATGTCAAACAAACTGATGATGTAATTTGATGGTGGTGTTCTTTTGCAGGTAATTTTCCAGATCACCCCCTTGAATCTGGTAGAATGGATGGCTGTACTAAAGATCTCCATACCGGTCATTATTCTAGATGAAGCCCTCAAATTCGTCGCTAGGAAATTTGCTGATGGTAAAAATCCTCTTTTCAGTTGTCATTGGTTAATTTCCTCATGGGTATTATATGGGTTGTTCTTGTATTACTGTCCAGTTTGATGTCATTGTTCTTTAGTCCTTTATTTTCAATTTCTGGCAGTTACATGTCTTATAATCTACGCAAACAAATCACTAGATAGTGATTGTTGTTAGTCTTGGTGCATTCAATATTTACATAATTACTATTGAGACTTAAATTACCTGATCATAATTCACAGATCTTAAAAAGAACAAAATTTAACTTAATCTGAACCATCGATCCTGCCATTTTTGCAATGGCAGAAGTTGTTAAATAATGTAAATTATTTTTTAAATCATAATATATTTATATATAAGTTATTATAAATTTTGGAGAGTTATCACTAATGTATATTTGTTTTTATGAGGATTGAAATATTATTACACAGAGTATAAAATTATAATACCTGAAACTGCCGCCATGAAAGCCCATTCATAAAATATCCATCAATTGTCATCCTTTTCTTTTCCTTATCATTTAGTCACAATGTATGAAATATCCATTATCCATCTATCATATCTAGTTCGGGTTTCTCTTCATACAAAGAAATATAAGTATAAGATATATAATCTGTATTCATTTTGGTTATACTAGACAAATTTTCAGAACAGAAACCCTGTATGAACTTGAGTCTTTGTTCACTTGTATATAACAGAAGTTCCTCAAATACAAGTAAGAAAATATTGAAATAAAAGACTCCAGTTCACTAGATATACAATTCCATTATTCAGTTGTCATCCTTCACTTAAACCAATGCTTGGTGTGTGAACATTTTATTACGCTGTGCGATTGGATGTGACGAATGCATTGAATATTCTCAATTGTTGAGTGATCCATGCTATTTTTACGCAAAGTTAAGAATTCAATCCTTTCACCATCATGCCTTTTCCTTATCATCACAAAGTTTATTACCGTTGCTTGCTTCCTTCATATGCTTGATATATTGTCTTAATATCGTTGAATTTTAAAACATTTAATAACATAAACAAAATCACCAATTTTAGAAGCCGAAAACAGAATTATAAGCATTATTAATTTGTGAGAAGGAAGCTGTCATGATAGTGAAATGATTGCGCTACTGCTTTATGGATTAAATGATATGGTCCAGTTTTGTGTGAAATTTTTTTGAAACTGCTAAGCGTTTTGAATTACTAGAAAATGTGGCGGGTTTAAAAAAGACTGATTGTAATTTATTGCCAGAACCAAGCATTTTTCATGAAATAATATTTTCTAATCCAACGGTTAATTTTAAATAATTTAGTAATCAGTTAATTATTATATCAAATTGTAAATAGAAAATTTATCATATTTGACACGTTTTAGGTTAAAATTATAGTGTTACGCTGAACGCTGCTTAAAAAGTAAAAAAAAAGTCTTTTGTTTAAGGCGATCATTAAACTGCTTTAGGTCAAATCTGCTAGTTGAAATTTGCGCCAGCGATCAGTTTAGGTTAATAAGGGAACTTATTAAGGAAATCTTATTTCAGCCCCATTTATGAAAGAGGCACCTGCAGCACCCCCTCCAGAAATGGGCCGCCGCCGATCCTCTATTTTCCATTTGAAAAAAATGGGATAAGTCTAAGTAATTAAAATTTTTAAATTATTTTTGTGTATATAATATAATGTCAGATGGTAGTCTTGTCTAATTCACTAAAAAAAGTCGCCACCTACTTTCAGTCTATACTTTAGTTCTGGCTTGGTTTTGGCATTTGTCGAGATATTTGGTTTTCTAGAATAGTTTTAGATACGTTTGTGCTGCGCTCAAGTAGTATGAAATAGTAGAGATTCAAAGCTAACTGGCTATGTTGATTTCATTTGCATTCCTTTTGTGTTTTTATTAATAAATAAATGTAGTAGATTAGATATGCACAGTAAGGGGGGATAACTACGAACGCCAACTAATCTGCTGCGCTGCTAAGCAATATCTAACAAACTAGGAATTGAAAATTAGTAAATGTAGCTTCTTAGATTTAAAAATTACCAGAAATCACTTCATTTCTGATCACTCTTCATTTTCTTTGCACATTCTTCTTTAAAATTCTTGGTGGTTATCCATGCAAATTCTTCTTTTTGAATTCATGATCTTCATTAATATCAATTCTTTGAGAAATTCTTTGATTTCAAACTTGCAATGTCTTGGTATTGTAAATCAGTCTATAAGTATTCTCATGTTTTGTAAATTGACTCTTATGTACCAGTGCCTTCAATACCTTCCCTTTACTGTGCAGTGTAGTCGAGTTTGTTGCATTCCTTCAACCCTGAACATTTTAAAGGAGAAAAAGGTGATAATGTTCTGAATATGTAATATAGTTCATTATAAATATCATCAAGCCAGCTTTTATAATGGCTATTTTATATTATTATCTATTTTTCTCCTGCAATCTTACAGGGTGTTTATTAGACTAGATTAGGAATAAGACAAGTTGTGAATGTCTATCAATTTACAACATCCCATCAATAAAATTCTCAATTTGGAATTGTACAGAAAAATCAAAATTTTGGGATGTTATAATTTGCAATGCTTAGTTTTCGCCAATTTTCCATGTGATTTTGAAATGTAACTTTTGAGCATGTTGACCTAGTGATCTTGTGTATATGGAATAGTTTGTAAATAAAATATTTCTTAAAAATAAAAAGAAAATATTGCATGGTGTGTTTTCCTTTCCCTTTTCCTTATTTCTGTATATTATATAGCTAACCATATCTTATCTCTATCTTATTCTCAATACACATACTAATTGAGCTGTTCTTATTAGGGAATCCGGAATTCTTTTCTGTTAACGTTTCTAGATTATTTGGGTGGGGATCTTATTAGTTATAACTTTTTTATTATCATAGAATATATTGCTTTGGTGTGCTGCCTTGGTGAATAAGTGATTACAATCGAATTAGTGAGCTTCGAAATGATGCTTTCTTAATCCACAAATATGACCAAGTTAAGGCCAGTGGAATAATTACATGACAAATTCTAATATCAGTAGTTGCGCGAAATTAATGAATGGTCAGGGAAGATGAAGGAACATTATTTATATTTATATGATTAAAGAAGAAATTTACCCCACAGGAGTTGAGTAATATCTTTGCCATAAATCTAAAGGTTAAGATATGGTTAGTTATAGAGGCCAGAGGGGCTATTTTTGTCATGTTCTTGGGGAGTTTAAAAAATGCATTTATGGGAGTGTGTGGACCCTGATTTTGTGTTTGTGATGCTCCATCCTGCCTGCATGATTCAGTTTTCCCATTTTCCCAATCATGTTGAAAATTTTTTGTTTATGTGACAGGTTCTGATTATCAAACCCAATGTTTTTACATATTATGGCTTATTTCCTTTAAATTTCATAGCGACTTATCGATAGAATTTTAAAGAATATGATATCTCAAAACACAAGACGAGTTAAGTAACGTCTTCATAAAGGTTTTACATAACCTTACAGTAACAGTATGCCGGTGATATTCTAACTCGGGGACCCTATTCAAGAATATAAATATTGAGATGATGGAATTGCTGGTGTGGTAACATCTAGCATAAGGGTGTAAACTCTTTTGATGAACAATCTATATTAAGTTTTTCTCACAAAATATCCTTGTTCTTTATCTAGAAATATTTCACCATAATTACTTACTATCTATTCATCGATCTTGATCAAAACTTTGAATTTTAAATAAATACAATAAATTTATATCCCACAAGAAAATTAGCTCACAAAAGTGGTATGATAACCTCACAGATTTACTTAACAAATTTTATATTGCAACTAATCAATACCTTGACCAAAATGATTTAAAATCCAACTCGTCTCAGATTTTGTCAAATTATATCATATCTGAACTAGTCTTTTACAATTTCTAGCCAATTTGGCTACTTCAAAGACGATAAATCACCTGCATCTTGACGACACATAGAATCTGTTCTGATCACAGATGTTTGAATCTTTCGTCGTGGAATGTAGCCATATAATGTTCTTACTCACCAATCGAAATGGGAAAACTCTTTGCTGTGGCATGGATGCATCATCACCAAAGCCTATCATTTCCCCTTCCAGTGGCGCCCCTATAACTATCTGATCCTTTGTAATATTGGCAACATCACTGTTTTCGAGGTAAAATGTTTCACCTTGGAGTCTGTGATGCTTCCTCGGTTGTCATTCTATGTCATTTCTAGGGTGGGCATCTCGGGTTCTCTCTTGGGACCTATTTAATACTTTCTGTGCTATGTTAATGTACCGATGGCTTCAGTCAATAGATTGTGGAGAGGTTAAGCATCATGACGAATGCTTCTTTAGATAAATTCGGAGCAGTCAAAATGTAATCAAAACAATTGTAATTAAAATGTAATTAAATAGTCCTTGAGAAAATTTTAGAAAAAAGATGCATATGGTTTATCATACACGTGTCGTACTCTTCATGTTGCGAAACCTTCCCTACCTGTTGACTGTAGCGGTATCTCGATGTCCTTGTTTGTAGTCTGTCCGGTAACATGTTATGTTAGTTTCAACTCAACGCTTAGTCAACTCCAAACTAGAGAATTTAATGCATGAATCTGACACTGTAATAAACAACATAACATTAATACAACAATTGATGTATCTATTGTTTTTTTTATCTCTGACCGATTCTCTTTTCTGACTGCTTCTTTATAATGAGACCATGATGGTGTGTCTAATCTCTGCAATGTATAAAGTCGGTGGAAATTTGGAATAAGTCTGAGATAAGATAACGGTAGACAATGGTATCTATTTCTACATATTCCGTTGGCGATATGGCTCTACACAATTAAAAAGCTTTTGTCAACAGATTTTGAAATAGTGTTACCACCGAGGCCTTGGATTCATCGTGATAAAAGCATTATCATTCATATTTTCACATGGTCAAGTGACACAACTTTTCACAAACATTCACGAATTTGCAGGTGACATTTTCTGTGCTTTCAAGACAGGTTTTCATAGGTCGCTGTCCACACTATCGCCCACGAATTCCTGACTTTGTGTTGAGTTGCGTTTAAACATACAAGTTTTCCATGCGTTGAAGATTTTCAATATTTCTTATAAGCAAAGTAATAGTAAAAGGCTGTGAAATCGTCATCGTTTGGAAAAATTATGTTGTTTTTCTCTCAGTTAAAAAGGTTGTATTTGTTGAATACTCTCCGTACTCCTTATACCAAGTACGGTACGGTACGTAGTTAAACACAATACAATACCATCCAGGTTTCGGAAATTTACCACTAAGATTTTCTTTGGCTGACTTGTCGAATGAAACAAAACAATAACCGATTTAAATATCTTTAATTTTCTCTTTTAAAAGTCGAAAACGGATCTTGGTAAGATATGTCCAAATTTTCATATTTTAATATTCTCAGGGTATATTTATTATTTTCATCTTTCTGCATGGTTTGTTTATGTTTCGTCTTTTGTTGGTTAAAGTCATACCTTGATATTTCAGAAAATGGACCAAATCACATTCTCTCTTAATTCCTTTTGTTGTCTTGTAGCTCCCATACGGAAATGGTTGCAAAAATCGTATTTTTATTAACCTTTCTCTATGTCGTTGTGGGTGGGCGGTAATCTACCTTTCAAAATTCTGGTTTCCCAATCCATTTACATGTTTTCATGGATCCGTTGCTTTCTGTTTTTCGAGCACGTTGCTATCTTTTATACTGGGAGTATTGGTCTCATTACTTGGGTGATTCTAAACAATGTACATTTTATGCACCCACAATTGTTGTATATTGGTTTTCTGTTGAAGGAAGAGTAGTTTTACGCTGGAAAGGTCAAAAAGTTCTTCAAAATATCAAACAGTGCGCAAAATGGACCTTGATACCTTTAATTCTAATTCTAATCAGGCCCATAAAAAAGATATACATGTATCTTTTTATTTCAATTTGGTGTTTCCTGACCGGTGTCAAAATTGTCTTTTCCTTCGTCTAACAAAGTAAAAAAAGTGTTTATATGTTTCAAAAAATTTTTCGTTTCGTGGACTAGTCAAGAAGTTTGCCACAGTTGCTATATTAAAGATGTTGAGAGATATCGACGCAAATCTCACTAAATTACGTAGGAGATATCAAGGCAAATCTCACTAAATTACGTAGGAGATATCAAGGCAAATCTCACTAAATTACGTAGGAGATATCAAGGCAAATCTCACTAAATTACGGAAGAGATATCGACTAAAATCTCACTAAATTACGTAGGAGATATCAAGGCAAATCTCACTAAATTACGTAGGAGATATCAAGGCAAATCTCACTAAATTACGTAGGATACATCGGCGCAAATCTCACCAAATTACGGAAGAGATATCGACTAAAATCTCACTAAATTATGGAAGTGATATCGACGTTAATGGACTAAAAATTAACCTACAGAAGACGCCGAGGTATATTCTCTCAAACAAACGATGATTATCTTCTGCGCGTTATACATATGAACTCTTCTTTGTTAGAGCCCAAAATGCTCCCACCAAATTGGTCAGCAATAACGTATCGTTTTCTAACTTCTTTTTCCAGATTATCCAGAAATGTTTTGAAGTGATAACGAGGTTTCTTTCCATCCTCGTTTACGGAGTTTTGTTGAAGAATGGAGCAATGCGACCATAGCACCAAGCTTAGCCGTCCAATCCCTAGGCGTACTGCGCTGGATAGCAATATCAGTACTGCAATTAATCCCGCAGTACTAAAAGTGTAGTTATTTCTGCAGCGACTGCATGCGGCCCTGCGCGTAGTCATTGCATGAATTAGGCCCTTTTTTCTTATCTTTTTTTCCTCTTTTTTATCTTTATATCTTTTTTTCTTTATTATCTGAAATTGTTGTGAGGGACAAACTTGACCATATGTGTATCAATTTCTTTAATGCATTTAAATGATGGCATTGGTCAAAATTTATCCTTTAACATTTTCTTTCCGCTCCCCTTTTCCAGTTGAAATTGTGGTTGGTCCCCCTAAGAGAAAATATCGTGGAATATAAATGTATGGAAAGTAACTCTGGTTGAATTCACCCTATACCAAACCTACAGACTGCGATATATAAGCTAAATTCAGGGACTTGGTCTCAAGGCACAGAGCAAAGGGAGAGCACTTCTTATAGACAGCAACTTGCGCGTTTTAGTAATGTGTGTAGTTTTAGACAATGTTGTAAAACGACTTTATCTTTTTTCCTATATATTTTCCGCCTTATACTCTCCCTGTTTGGGCACACCCGATAATGGGGTGGACTGCTGAGCTACAACTTTATTCACCAAAACCAAACTCTCAAATTGCTACAATATATGAAAAAAAAAAATTCTATTATTATAGAGCGAACTCCATTAGTTGACCGGCGTGTGATCTGTTTTTTTTTTTTTTTTTAACTGTGTATATTTCTTGCCAGTTTTCTATGTAATGTTTTATGATAATTTATGAAATGTTGTGAATGGAAACGACAGATCAGAATTTGTATATATTTATGTGTATTTCCTATCATGTACGTTTGAATGAGCCGTGTGTGTTTAAAAGTCAACGTTTTAAATCTCCGCAAATTTAGCGCCCAGGCAGATGACGTCATTAGTATTTCAACAAGTACTGCAATTTGATCTGTGCAACTTCCGGTTCCTGTATCTATCCCGTCAGCCACTGTGATAATCAGTAGAGGAGTTTATATGGATCTTGTTAATATTCATATAGTATTTAAATTTCGTCGTCTGCATAATATTAATTTATTAACATCTTGGGGATTTTTCGTTAAATTGATAATTTTTCTTCTCTCAAATTTATCATTTGATGGAAGCTTTTTTTCTTTTTTGTTTTAGAATTATTAATCAGATAATTTATTAATTGGGCAATGACATACAATGATAACATTGATAGTATACAAACCCATATTAATTAGAGAATCTAATATTAATACTTATTTATTGGCATTAGTTGATAATTACTTTATTTACATGATAAATAACTAGTAACTATGACAACGAAATGCTCCCAAGATTTTATGACATTGTGAATTTCCCGCAATTCATACCTCAAACGACTATAAGTCACAGGAAAGGATCTCGAGCGTGCCACCTGCTTGACCAACATCGAGAGCATGGAAAGGGCCCCCACATGTCTTCCATCTTTTACCATGTGGGTCACTGGTCTATGGCACCAGTCTAAATAAAATTAAATAGAAATAAGATGTAAACTTTATTTTTCTTACCTTGCAGAGTGACTTTAAAAACTATGAACCCTGGGAGCCGAGATCCTTGTCGCTGATTTTAGTCATTTTTTTTGTAGATAAAATCGAATCCCGAATTTGTACATTTCCTATAGAAGTAAATTATCGGTTTTTTCTAAAAACTTATATTGTTTTTATTTCTTGAAATTTGTCTTTTCGATTAGAAAACACTGGAACGGAGAAGCTCGTTGATTAGCCTACACACATTGGCACGTTTGTAGTCTTACAATTTGTCAGTCAACGGAATTAGAAAGATACATTTACACTATTGTAGAACTGGAAACAAGATGAGTTTGTAACTGCAGCTCAAAAGACAGATAATCAACCATTAAGAAGCAGACGTATATAGTCAGAAACACAGTCTTCCAAGTGCGTTTATTTTCTACGTTCAATCCACTCAACGTTTTATAGCCGTAATGAGAGGTCACCCCACCCCCTCTCTCTTTTCATCATATAACAACGCGGAATTCATTATCCGTTTTTACAGCGATCTGGTAGAAAATGTGTATTTACGGCCATAGGTGAACCATCATGAAAGAATTATATAATTTCTTTCGAAACATAACTCCGCAACTTAGTCTCAAATAAATTATTATCTCCCTTTTGTCTCCAATAAATTATTATCTCCCTTTAGTCTCCAATGCAAACAATTATTATCTCCCTTTAGCCTCCAATGCAAACAATTATTATCTCCCTTTAGTCTCCAATGCAATCAATTATTATCACCCTTTAGTCTCCAATGCAATCAATTATTATCACCCTTTAGTCTCCAATCAATTATTATCTGCCTTTAGTCTCCAATCAATTATTGTCTCCCTTTAGTTTCCAATGCAAACAATTATTATCTGTCTTTAGTCTCCAATGCAATCAATTATTATCATCCATTAGTCTCAAATCAATTATTATCTCCCTTTAGTCTCCAATGCAAACAATTATGATCTCCCTTTAGTCTCCAATGCAAACAATTATGATCTGCCTATAGTCTCCAATGCAATCAATTATTATCACCCTTTAGTCTCCAATCAATTATTATCTCCCTTTAGTCTCCAATGCAAACAATTATTATCTGTCTTTAGTCTCCAATCAATTATTGTCTCCCTTTAGTCTCCAATGCAAACAATTATGATCTCCTTTTAGTCTCTAATGCAAACAATTGATATCTCCCTAAAGTCTCCAATGCAATCAATTATTATCACCCTTTAGTCTCCAATCAATTATCATCTGCCTTTAGTCTCCAATGCAAACAATTATTATCTGCCTTTAGTCTCAAATCAATTATCGTCTCCCTTTAGTCTCCAATGCAAACAATTATTGTCTCCCTTTAGTCTCCAAAGCAAACAATTATTATCTGTCTTTAGTCTCCAATCAATTATTGTCTCCCTTTAGTCTCCAATGCAATCAATTATGATCTCCCTTTAGTCTCCAATGCAATCAATTATTGTCTCCCTTTAGTCTCCAATGCAAACAATTATTATCTCCCTTTAGTCCCCAATGCAAACGATTATGATCTCCCTTTAGTCTCCAATGCAAACAATTATTATCTCCCTATAGTCTCCAATGCAATCAATTATTATCACCCTTTAGTCTCCAATCAATTACAATCTCCCTTTAGTCTCCAATCAATTATTATCACCCTTTAGTCTCCAATGCAATCAATTATTGTCTCCCTTTAGTCTCCAATGCAATCAATTATTGTCTCCCTTTAGTCTCCAATGCAATCAATTATTATCACCCTTTAGTCTCCAATCAATTATTATCACCCTTTAGTCTCCAAAGCAATCAATTATGATCTCCCTTTAGTCTCCAATGCAATCAATTATTGTCTCCCTTTAGTCTCCAATGCAAACAATTATTATCTCCCTTTAGTCCCCAATGCAAACGATTATGATCTCCCTTTAGTCTCCAATGCAAACAATTATTATCTCCCTATAGTCTCCAATGCAATCAATTATTATCACCCTTTAGTCTCCAATCAATTACAATCTCCCTTTAGTCTCCAATGCAAACAATTATTATCTCCCTATAGTCTCCAATGCAATCAATTATTATCACCCTTTAGTCTCCAATCAATTATTATCTCCCTTTAGTCTCCAATCAATTATTATCACCCTTTAGTCTCCAATGCAAACAATTATTGTCTCCCTTTTGTCTCCAATGCAAACAATTATTATCTGCCTAAAGTCTCCAATGCAATCAATTATTGTCTGCCTTTAGTCTCTAATCAATTATTGTCTCCCTTCCGTCTCCAATGCAAACAATTATCGTCTCCCTTTAGCCTCCAATGCAAACAATTATTATCTGCCTTTAGTCTCCAATGCAATCAATTATTATCTGCCTTTAGTCTCCAATGCAAACAATTATTGTCTCCCTTTTGTCTCCAATGCAAACAATTATTATCTGCCTTTAGTCTCCAATCAATTATTGTCTCCCTTCCGTCTCCAATGCAAACAATTATCGTCTCCCTTTAGCCTCCAATGCAAACAATTATTATCACCCTTTAGTCTCCAATGCAATCAATTATTATCACCCTATGGTCTCCAATGCAATCAATTATTATCACCCTTTAGTCTCCAATCAATTATTATCTCCCTTTAGTCTCCAATCAATTATTATCTGCCTTTAGTCTCCAATGCAAACAATTATTGTCTCCCTTTTGTCTCCAATGCAGTAAAAAGTCATTTTTAATGTTTATGTTTTTAAATTAAAAACAAGTTGATTTAACAATTTCATTCTAATAAAATATAACAATATCTGGCTTGGAATGTTTCAAATTACTGTCTACATGTACATTAAATAAAAATAAAAAGCATCATATCAATTAAACTTTTACATCAATGAATTAAAACTATTGTAAAATATAATATAAGACCGTCTTTGGCAACAAGTTCTACTTAATAGTTTCTAAAATTTCAGGGGTCAATTTGGGCCTTGAATATATGTAACAGTTTTCAGTGAATACTAAAACCGATTAGCTTATAACAAAATAACGAAAAAGCTATAAACATTGCTGAAAGCCTGATACAATTTTAATTCTCAAGATATGATTTCCATTCACTGTGTACAATAAGACTGATGAATTTCTAAATCTCGTTCTCTGTCATACATTTTATCACATCTTTGACAAACAAACATATTAGACGGACTATAGTCGGAGTTATTGTCCTTGATACTTGGTGGAGCTGTTTTACCAGTATTCTGCTTTCCTGATGGGGGGCGACTGGAGGAACTGAGATGCCCACTCTTTTTCATTTGTAAGTAAGCACCAATACTAGTTTGATTAACTGGTGCCATTGTATATGTTTTACTACTCAGTGGTCTCCCTTGCTTGGAACTCTCTTTTCCTTTCTTAGCACTTTCTGGTCTGGTAGATTTGGTAACAACAAATTCATCTTTGGTTTTAGTTTGAGATTTATCAAAGTCCATTGTAAATAAGTTAGCTTTAACTCTTGGTTTTGATTTAGATGGTGGTGAAACATCTGTATGGTTTGAATTGTTGAAATTAGAATTAGAATATCTAAAAAAAATTAAACAATGAGTAAATCACATATCCTCATTTTCAACATCTAACTCTTGCTGGGGTTCTGACAAAAAATCTCAACTGCAGCCATTACATCAATCTCCAATATTCTCCAAATACCTTTATATCTCCTTTGGTCCGCAAAGAAATAATAATTATCTCCCTTTAGTATCCAATCAATTATTATCTCCCTCTAGTCTCCAAAGAAATAATTATTATCTCCCTTTAGTCTCCAAAGAAATAATTATTATCTCCCTTCTATATCCAATCAATTATTATCTTATTACATATGAAACAAAATGAAGCCTGACCTATAATCTGTTTTAGGATCTTGTATTCTTTCTACATTATCAACCTTCCATAACTGAGTTGGACCACCCTACAAAATACAATTGACATAAGAGTGGAGCAAGACAGTAGTTTGTACAATTATAGACAAGATGTTATTATTCTTACTATAACATTGATATAAGCAACAGCCTAACACTATCTACAAACTGATTATCAATTCCTAATCAAGACAGTTAAGATTTAGGAAGTATATTCAATGTCTTCAGGGCTTTTTTTAGGATGTGAATTCCAAGTTCTAAATTTTATAATTTCCATTTGTTCTGAGCATAATTATTCAAGTTTAGTCATAAAATAACCAATAAATAACTTTATTTACAATTTTGGAAAAATTCCTGAGTGCTTACTGTTAATGTTTTCTTTGATGTAACACCAACAGAAATAGGATGTGACCCTTGACCTTGATTGGACATGAATTTAAAAATAGAATTTTGTAGCCCTTCACTTTGGTGTTCTAGTATTTGAACTCGCACAAGATTAGCTTTCACTTGGTTCTCCATATCTTTCATTATATTACCAGTTCCTAGATTATATATAATTAAGAGGTAATGTAATGTCATGCCTGCCAGTTTTCAGATGCTAATATTTGATATTTATCATGTTCATATTGCCTATCTGACATGTATTGCAGCATTATGATTGAACCATTTGAAGGAAAATATACTGTCCTATAGTGTTACATTGTCTTCTTTCAAATAGAAGGTATGGATAAATAGAAAGTACAAAATAAATTCGTTTTGTCTTCGTATATGTCAAAGACTGAATAAAACTGCAAATATATAATAAATATTACGACTGATGAAATTCACTAGTTAACCATATAACTAAGCAGCCAGTATAGTGGCTGTCACCAAGTTTAGTGATGTCACACAACGTTAAAGTTTTAAGTTATATTTCTTTGAGTTCACGGAATATGAAATTTAATTTCATTTACATTCAGTGTTCAAAGGGGCAAGCTGTCAGCCATGTGCATCACTAAGCTAAAATATGTATTACTATCCTGATATAAAATGTATTGTGCGTGCCTCTGTTTAGTTGAGCAGCTTGGATAGTCATGATTATCAGGACTGTGAAAATAGATGTAAATTTTTTGACCTACCTTTATAGTCAGGATTAACAGGACCGTTTAAATCAGGATATTCTACAAGTAATTTCTCTCTTTCTCGAGCCTCTTTGACTTGTTCTTCCAGTTTTTCAATTAAACTCTTTGTTTCTCCCATATTCTTCTCTAATTTGTCTTTCTCTGATACCAATTTTTTCATCATAGCCTACAGAAAAAATCAAAACATCTTTAACTCCATATGACTCCTTTTCACATGTTTTGTTTCTGACAATTGCTGAATGGTTTATACTGGTATACATACAATATATCTGATTTTGATATTTAATTCCATCATAAACCTGAATCCCTTATGATGAAAGCCTATTGGACAAAAGCCACCTCAGATTCTGAGGATCAGAGACGAAATCCCTTATTCAATGAGTAATGTAGAACATCCCCCCCCTCTATGTGAATCATTCAGAATGGCTGTCTGGGTTCTTTTCATATCTTTGTCAACTGAACCTTTTAACTTACAAATAGGAATTAAAACGGTTTGCTCCTTGTAAAGTTAATTTTTACCTTTTGTTCTTCAGATTGTTGTTGTAGCTTTTCATTTTCTGCTTGGATTCTCTCTAATTTCTCTGTTATACTTTCTCTCTCTTCTTCTAATTCATTCATTTGTTCTTTTAATTCTTCATTCTCTCTATCCAGTTGATCTATTCTTTCTAATAAACTTGTCTGTTTGGCTTGGAGTGTCTAAGTAACAAGTGAAAACACCAAACATAAGAGTCTTGAATTGAATTAAAACAACCCTCTCATTATGAAAATTGAATATTAGAATTCTTGCAGTAACAGCTCTAGAGAATTGACAGGTTTATCACTAGAACCAAATTACCTCCCTTTATATTACCACAGTTCAAGCAATGGCTCTGTAGGTGTAAAATCCTCTTGGTGTCTGTATTACAAGCAACCTTTTGGCTAGATCAGATCAATGCCTTAACTAATCCAAACCTATTAAATTCTTTATATTTACCTCATTTCGTTTTTGGGCACTTTTATTTTTGGAAATTTCCATATTATAATCTTTAGTTTGTATTTCTAGTTTATCTGATACATTATGTAACTCATGATTTAAATCTTTAACTTTATTTTCTAATCTTTTCATTTCTTCTTCTTCAACTCTAGTCTTTCTTACTTCTCTTTCCATTTCTCTTTGGTTCTTTTCTGAAAGAATTTCAAAATGTACAAATCATACAGTTGCCCAAATATTGCTTAGCACAGATAGAGCTTTATGTAACACTTTTCACGATTAAAATCCAATGTGCACTTCTTCTGCAATTCCTCATAAACAAAAGGAGACTTACCTAAATTCTCAACTTCACTATGTTGCTTTCTTAATTCTTCTTGTTTTAATTCCAATTCCTTTTCTAAAGCTTTTCTTGATGCAACAACTTCTTCCTTTTGTCGATTAACACTGTCAATAGTTTCATTATGAGTTGTTTCCCTTTCTTGAAGTTTGATTTCATACTGTCGTTTTATAGCAGCTTGCGTGTCTTTTTCTAACTTCAGCTCATTTTCAATTTGTCGAACTTTGTGCTCCATTTTCTTTGTCTCCTTTTCAAATGCAGTCACTTCTGATTTTAATGGATTCACTTCTAGCACTACCTGGTCCACAAACTTATTAATGCGAGACAAATCTTTATTTTGTTCATGTGTCCATCTTGTAATGTCATTAGCACTTAACCAATCATATCCTGCGACTTGGGGACGGAATTTTTTCAAAGACGACGGAAGTCCTTGTGTAGTACAAACGTGAACAACAAGGTCTCCTGTTTCTCGTAGATTTTTCTGAACGACTTCACAAGATTCACAAGGTATAAAAGCTGTTTCAATAGTCTGTGATGATTTGTTACATTCATCTTTGGAAATGTTTAATTTTGGCAATGAGACAGTGGTAAAATCTGAAATTTCAGATATATTTGATGTTGAAAAGTTCTGGTCTGACGTAAGACTGTTGACACTATTCAATGATATATCTCCATTTATTTTATGGACCGTCTGTTCCAGTTCTGCTATTTTTCTTGATTTACTCTTATTCTGAAAAATAATTTGAAACAAAATGATGAAATACTCAATTTTGAAAAAAATATTAGTGCCCAAATGGTTACTGACTATTCAGATATGAATATTCAGATATCCCTTGTTACTATTGGCAGATGAAGGTTTGTTCCTGTGATTCACATATACTTGACCCATTTTCTTTAATACAGGAACAATTACTAACACTTAGATAGGAAAGCTACATCTCAAATAAGCAGTCTTTATGATGACTTAATTTTGCAAAATAAGTGTTGGCAGCATTTGTCAAAATCATTGGCTCATTTGACAATCTGACATTGTCTGTATACAGACAGGATAGGTTTGGGTAGAGTACATTTATTCTAGGCCTACCTCAGATTGTACTTGCTGTATTAAGGTATGAAGATGAATTAAACGACCACAATATTTTTTTACCACTAAGCCAACAGAGCAATTAGTACTTTGAGAGTTGTCTCCACCTTGTTTTAAATTCCCATGTAACTGTTCTGTGTATTTTGACATAGTGTGAAGTAAATAAACTAATCTAAAACAGAAAGAACCAAATATTTATGTAGTAACCACACAATATGTGACAATGAGACAAATTTATAAAATTTTGGCAATTTATCTTGCATGAGCGAAAAAACCGATTCTCAAATTTTCAGTAGTGCAAACCTTTTCTGAATCTTCTACAGAATTATGCGGATTTTATTTTGTCTTGCTTAAAAGAATGCATCTTAGATCTCACAAAAAACATTGGGGGAAAAACCATACAGGAAGGTAAATATTATAAATAGCAAATAATTCATGGAAATGGAAATGTTGTCTGTTCAAGAATGGGAAATTCATTGAGCTCCATCACAATAAGCACTGTAGCAGGATTATTTAGCAACGCTGGGCATTATCAACCTCCATGAACACACTGATCTGCCACTGGGTTTGCCAACACCACAGGGGAGTCCACACAGTCAATAATTTTCATATTAAACTTTTGCTAACACTTCTTACCTATCAATAACAAGTTCATACAATCCAATATGAGCTACTTGATTTCCTTCAGAATCACCATCACAATAATCATACAGTTCCAATAACTCATCCATATCTATATCCCCTGACAATTTATCTGGAAACTTCCAGGAAGGAAATTCTACTGGACCAGTTCTAGAGATGATATCTGCTATTGACCAATGGACATCTTGAACATCATTGCGCAGACTGTCCATACACGCCTTACCTCCTAGCAGAGAGGCCATATTGTACTACTGTAGAAAACACAATAAATAAAAATATTTATAATTATGTTTCAAGTAATCTTATATCTGTTTAATATATATTATAAGAGTATGGACCTCAGTTACAATGTTTCAGATTTCAGTGAATATATTCAGTGTGATGATACTCAGTGTGTATAATTATTATAAAAACAGTAAACATTACATGTAAGCTAATATAGTTCTATAACAAATAATTGTAGGCCTACTATGGACACAAGACAAATATGAACTGTTTTCTTCTCTAGTCTAAGCTAGAAAGTTGGCAAGCTAATTATTAGTTAACTATTCATTAATTAGTAGTGGCAACGTGGGAATAACAAAACATAATCTTGTTGACAGCAGTAAGGCACTTGCACTGCGATCACATTTACATTTCAATGAAAATCATTCTCAGATTGTTTGATTGACGAGATAAAACTTGTAAATTCTAAAATTGTAAGAATTAAAAAATAATGAAATCAAAGACCAAATAAATTATAATATGACCCGTCGGTTACTAGAATAAACATAAATCAGGATGAAAATTTGACATTAATGTAAAGAAGGATTGTATATAAACATTGCTTGAACATACAATTCTCAGACACGGTGAGGGGCAGCTACAGGCTATTATAAATCAATAACTTTCGAGGATAGCCCACTGAGGAATTCCATTGTTTACCTCAGATACCAACGTCACATCCGTCAAGGGAAAGCACTCATAATTTCTCTACTTTCGTTTTAGCAAATGAAGTCCTGCACTTCCAGTGACAAAATGACAGCTGAAAAACTTCAAGTTGCTTTCACAGATATTTTAAAGGCTCATCAAAGAATTTCTCCGTATATCCACAAGACTCCTGTATTTAAAAACTCAAAGATTAATGATTTGGTCCATAGAGAATTGTATTTCAAAGCAGAAAATTTGCAGAAAACCGGATCATTTAAGGCTAGAGGTGCTTTGAATGCAGTAAGTAACGTTCTTATTATGTAGTCAAAGGGGGAGGGGCACTTGCATTTGGCTTTAGGATTTTAAACACTAAACATTATTTTCTAGATCAACATGCTATACCTTTCAAGGTAAACTATGTTAAATGTATTACAGCCATACTTAATTGCTAATAGTTATCCCTGAATACTTCTTCGAAACAAATCAGCATTGTTCTTCTTTTAGGTCTTACAACTCAAAGAAAAGCAGACCAATTTGAAAGGAGTGGTAATTTTACAAATACTTTTTAAATTATCTCAAATTGATAAAAGCTTAAAATGTATTGTATTTGTTAAACTTAAAAATAAACAGCATAAAAAGTTTTTTTAGTATGTGAACAAAAAAAATGATTATTAGTCTCAAATGCCTCCATAGAGCCCTTTCTGTCATACACTTTTTAATGTCCCATATCTTATAAAATAATTTTGGAATCTGATATACATGTATATATTGTGAATATTTCTTGTTGATTGTTTAAAGATGGGTTTCCTTATTTTTTAGTGTCAAATTAAGCAAACTATTTGATTATTTGGTGTTTCTAATGAATTATCATGTATTCTTAATCATATCATTATGTTCTTATTGCATATAATTAAGAGTATTAACCAATCATAAATGTATATGTAGTTACATTCTGGATAAACAAAAAAATACTTTTTGACCTTTCTTGATCGGTCACTTATTGGAATTCTGCTGGTATTTCTCTTTAATTAAGCTAATTATGAATTAATTATGGACATGTGAGACAAACTGGTATTTTTCCAAGTCATTAGAACACCTCTACCTTCTATTCATATAAGTATTAGCATTGTCATTTTCATAAATGGAAATAAGGGAACCCATCTTTAAGGTAACTCATAGTAGTGGAAACCATGGTCAAGCTACAGCTTGGGCGGCAAGGACTACTGGGCTGCAGTGTAGTATTGTGGTACCAAGTTATTCTCCTGCTGTTAAAATGGAGGCAATAAAAGAATATGGTGCTGAATTGGTTGAATGTGGACCATTACCTACTGACAGGTACTAAGGATATTCGTAAGGTTAATGGACAGTCAGTTCACATGTAATGCATTGTTCATTTAACATCATTTGAACATATGCCAGTAGCCATCGTTTCTATAACACACCCATAATTATTACATAATTCTACTGTGTATCCTTTAAAAGAATGTTAGACTCAGATGATAAACATTCATGATGTTACATGTTTTTTAACAATTTAACTGGTTTTTTTTGGGGGGTCTAACTAATTTATTAAAGTAAACATCTACATCATTCTGTTAAACGAAATAATATCACATATTTCGTTTAAACGAAATATTATAAATAAATATGTTTGCAATTACGCCTTAGGGGCTCCGTAGTTAAGCAGTTTGCATGAGTCCCTTTCTTAGTCAGTCTACCTTAATTGAAGAAAGACGCTACAGGGAAAGAAAGGACTGAACATTTGTTTTCATGTTGTTGCACATTTGAATATTGTGTTCAACCTTATATTGTATGTTGTAGGAATGCTGCTTGTGAGAAAATTGCAGCAGAGAAAAAGTATGAAATGATTCCACCCTTTGATCATTATCATGTTATTGCTGGACAGGTAACCAAATATAGGCATAAGATGAATGGATATTCATTTACGCATTGATAAATTTAAAGTTTTAGTAGCATATCATAGATATCTAACAACATTTAAGCACATCCACTTCAGCTTGATGCACTTTAGCAAATCTTCTTTAGTAAGTCTTTAGTTGGTGTAGAATTTGTTAACATGCTAGAAGCATCATCTGACATTGAGTTACATTGAACATTAACAACATTATGTGTCTAGTTATTGAAGAAAGTTTGTCTTGATATATTTTGTACTCTTGTTGAAGTAGGTAAGTCTACAAATTATTTATTGTTGTAGGGTACAATAGCAGTTGAATTTTTGGAAGCAGTACCCAATTTAGATGCTATCTTAGTACCTATTAGTGGTGGAGGTATGATAGCTGGTATTGCTGTAGCTGCTAAACATATCAAACCTAATATTAAAGGTACATAACTCTCTTACTACTGACTATTTATGTAATATTTACATCCCTATGATAATTCATAAGTGGCAGGGGTTGAAAGCCAACATGAGATTTTCTTACCTTGAAAAGGATTCAAACCCACATCACTACATCTCTTAGCAGACAACAATCCAACTCTCTCAAGACTTAGCTATTCCACTACCACATGGATTAAAGCCTAGGACAAGCATTGGCATTAGAAATTTAATAATGATTTTTATGAATTGTCTACTCACAGCCTTGTTTTCTTATTACATTGTGAAATGTTTGTCCTGAGTTTGAGAATTGATTGATGCATTGAAAGGTTTTGTGCCATTTTGAAAATCTCATAATTTCATAAAATTTCATAATACATTGATGAGTCAAGATTCTAAGATTCTATTAATTTATACTTGATATAGTCTATGCAGTAGAACCAGAAGGAAAGATCTTAGAGAAAAGTCTGCGAGCTGAAGAAATGTTATGGCCTAATCCACCACAATATCTCAATACTATCGCTGATGGTATACGTTTACAACAGACTGGTCACTTAACATGGCCATTCTTACTTCAACTTGTAGAGAAAGAAGTTTTCACTGTGGTATGTTACATCTTGTCATTTTGGTACATTTCCCTTTTATCCTTTAAGGGTTTGGAATCCAAATCTTCAAGTAAGAAATAAATGCAGGTTTAGGACTTGGAAACTTGTCTGTATTTGAAATTAGAAAGAACGTGAAATTTCAAGGATTAGGCTACAGCTCTTGTATTTTTAACAACTTGTCAGTTAGCCAAAAACCTAGTGCTGAGTATTGCCAGGATACTAGTATCATAATATCAGATCTACAGTGAAATATGAATCACAATAGGGTGTAAAAGATAAATATTAACAATTTATTTTCCAAATTTCAATTACGGCTGTTTATTTTCAGTTTGTTGTTACAGTAATATGTGAATATGTTTGTCTAGTATAAAATGAAATGAATGGAGTTTTACGTCCTACTTTTCTGCGCCATGTGGGCTAATGAAGACGGGCAACGCCATGCAGGGTGCGATGAGGGAAATTTTGCCAGGACAGCGGCATTAGCCTGCTCTTTGTTGATTTCCAACTATCGAGGAGTTTTTAACGTGCACAGCCTGTAGCACACAGGACCTCGGTTTATTGTCCCATCTGAACGACTAGACGCTTTTTTCTATGTCAGCCCCTCCTACCTGCATCACTGACAGGGGGAAACTGGGTTGTTGTCTGGTATGCTTGGTATCGTGATGTATGGATACACATATTACATACATATCATGGCATATCAAAGCGTTATGTATCAATTCACCAATATATTGTGCAAGTACAGAAACTTTTTTCTTTCAGAACAATGAAGAAATAATAAAAGCGATGAAATTTGTTTTTCAAAGAATGAAGGTAATGCATTGTCATAATTTTTAGGCATTTAAAGTTTTTTAAGTGTGAGCATGATATTGCCAATATATTATAACAATGCAAGGATTCAATTACCTATTTTCATTTTTTTTTTATCTAATTCCAATTGTCATTTCAGCTGGTAATTGAAGCTGCAAGTGGTGCAGCAGTAGCCGCTGCGATGTCAGATCAGCTGCAGAAACTAGATAAGAAAATACAACATATTGGTGTTATTTTATGTGGTGGAAATGTGGATATAGATAAATTACCTTGGTTTTGATGTTTGCAACCAAATTCCAGGAATTCGTCTTTAAAATTCAATCAACATGAATGATGAAAAATAAGTGTAGCAATCAGATCAGAATTAACTGGAATTTATTAATATTTTTCTATATATTTTTAAATCTCGTAATATTTTTATAAATTTAATTGATTTTGATATGAATGCAGATTAATGAAAAAAACATTTTTTATGATATTAAAACTAGATCAATTGATATTTTTATAGAAAAGAGAAGCTAGTCGACCTGTTAAGACTATGGTCAGCTTTTGATTCATTACAGTTGCTATTAGGCATAATCTAATTTACAGGTCATTTGTTTTTGTATTTGATATTATTTTTATGATTGTACAGTAATTGTTATTAAATCTTATTAAATTTGATTAGTTTTAACTTTATTCTACATAATTTTTTTGGCATTGGTAAACAATTCCAAAGTTGTTTGTGGTCTGAAAAAAATCTTTTGAACTTTTACAAAAGCAGGGAAAACTCAAAATGTTTTTATCAACTAAACATAAAGATATAGAACCAATTTTGTTTGGTTTGTCTTTAATTTGAATGCAAAATAGATAGTTTTGTCGGCAAGAATTCCAGTACCTGAGAGCAAATTATCTCCCCCTTAGTGTGTCAAGGGAGGTAATAACATTTAGTGACCCCTAACCTTCCAAAGGTCAAAGGTGAATGTATTCACTTGGTATTTGCTTTGCCAACAAGCAGGATCGTGTGAGAACAGAACAGAGATTTATCATCAAAAGAAACCGACGAATAATTTTGTAGGTGAGTTAGTTTATATAAAAATTAGGTAATGAACCAAATTCATTCTTTTCTATAATAAATAAATTTTAGAGAAACTATATGGATGGAATTCAATTGATAGCAAGTTCTATGTGCAGCGTTTGGAACCAAATGCAGGAAGTCTGCGATATCAAATTTCATCTGGCAGTCATTTGAAGAGAGCGCAAAGAATTGAATATTTCATTTCTTCATAATCTTGCGTCAGAATTATGAAAATAAGTGATATGATTTTCCTTCTAGAAATATGTAGCTAATCGATCATTTTTAAATAAATTTGAATAAAAAAGCGGAAAATGTGACCGTTATTATTCATAATAGCCGGCAAGTCATGCATGAGTGAACGAGTAGGTGTGTTCTATTTTCTACGTAGATTATATACTTGAATAGATCTGAATACACGTATGTAGGTATACCTCATTGTGAAACTGCACATGACTTCATAAGGAGCGTTTTATGAATCATTAAACGTAAGTTTGGTTTTTATAAAAATAATTATAAGTAGGAGTTATATTGATGTTCATAATAGTAGTCATATAGATTATGAAAATTTAGTTATCAGTTTAAGTTTTAGAAGGGAAGGTATAGGTTTTAATCTTTTGATCAAGGATTAAAATTCATTTATATTAGGATATCAATTTGAAAGTACCGGTAAGTCAAGATTTGATTTTTTCGTTTTCTCATTCTACAAAACTCTGGTTCTTGAAGATATATTTTTCAAAACCACTATTTGGTCTGTTAATTTCCAGTGATTCTTTACATAGGTTCTCTCAAACATGGAGTAAGTACTCTGTAAGTAATTACTTCACTTTTAAATACTTCTCTCTGTCAATGGAACTTTAATCTTAAGTACTTAGTTCTCTGTTAAAGAATTATTAAGTTCAAATGTTCTCACTGAGGAAGTAATTTCTTATCAATAAAGACAGTTCAATAGTGAACTCCAAATTAACAGATTTTAACTTTCTGAATAGTTTTTGTAATATTTAAAAAACCCTTTCTCTTAACCCCATTAACTGCTTAAAACAAATAAAAATTTGACTCAAAGACCTCATCACTGTAGTTTAGTAGTTTACTATTTTTGAAATTTGAATTATGACACGTCGGATATGTAGTCAGGAAAGGCACGTCTGCATGTCAGTTTCTCTGTTAGGACTTTGAACAATAACGGAAATTTGAAAATTTGAAATAGTGAAATGACAAAGGGACTGGTTAAACTGGTAGGGGCAGGTAATTCAATGTACCAGGATGATTTTAAGAGATGTTATCAAAGACAAGATAGAGTGAGATAACAGGTTTGACTTCTTTTATACTAGCAATTTTTTACGACTTTAACCACATACAGGCAGAAGATTTTAAATTTTGTTATTTCTGGTGTGTCATTTTGAAGAGTGAGCTCATTCGACTTGTTTGAATAAGGAAATTCATTAATATTCAAATTGGGATAACTTCAATTAAGGGTAAAGCTGATGATATTCTGATTTGACTTTTATACAGGGATACAACTTTAATTGTTTCTGATATTTTATCAAAATCTTAAGAAGGCTTTCTCTAGGTTGTTTTGTATATCTCATCGTTAATAGTTTGGTGTATATTCAGGATTGGCAGATTCAAGATTGTTAATTGGGAAACTGAAGATATTTCAAATCTCTTACTTTGGGTACTGTGTGGTGAACAGTTACATCAGTATAAAGTTTCTACATAGCTTTTGACAGGATTCTGACTATTGATTGACAGTGTACTTAATTTTTCAATATAGCATTTGCCACAATCAAATTTTGGCAAAATAAGAAAATCATGGTTATCAATTAAATGCAAAAATTTGGTATTCATTTTCTTAAATGATTGGTATTTCTTGATGAAGGTATATTGAACCTAAAGTGTTAATACGCAATAAGAGAAAAAGTTCATACAGACTAATTTTTACAAAACTCAATCCGTTAAACAAATCACTCATTCAAACAATGAATTGAACAGTTTTATGTTGTAACATATTCAATTCAATTCATTTTGAATAGAAACTGAATATTATGAATATTGTGATTCAAAGTTGTAAATGTGTAATAATATAACAACAAAATGATATGAATAATGATCCATTTTAAACCGCAAAAAAGAACTTGACGTGAATAGGCTAACTAAAAACTATTGTGGTTACTGTCCTTTGTTGAGAAAGATTATTCCTTATGTTTTCCAAAGTGAATTGTTTGGTTTTGTAAAGACAGTTTAGCCTATATTGATTTTATTACCCTCAGAAGTGACATAAGCTTTTTTTTCTCAGAATATTCAACAAAATTTTGTTTGAATTTTTGATTTATATCCTTCATAAAAATTGAGGGAAATAGTAGGTAAGGATTCAAAAATTCTTTATAACTTCAACTAGTAATAACATTTTACAGTCACTTTACAGGGATTTAAAAGAAATGGAGTTTTAAGGTTTTTGGACAAGTATATACCGACTGTAAATTTGAAAAATTCAGAGGACATTTTTGACATCCTGTCCAAAAAGTGGCATATGTCAATCTATAAGGTGAAATAGTTGACAATATATTTTTATGTACTAAAAACTCCTTTCATCTGATAAATGATATACAAATTTAAAATTCAAAATACTTTACACCAATTTATCGTTTTAAAAATAAAAATTGGCAATTTCCCACTCTTTTAGCGTATACCTTATTGCTGAGTCATTGTTTATCTCTAGATATTTAAGATGTCTGAAATAAAAAAGCTGTCTATGGGGTGAATTTTACCATTTGTGTCAATTGCCAAATTTTCAGATGGTTGTTCATTAGAATCTGACAATGTGCTCTATTTAACCTCAGGTTATGTTGTAATTGGTGGTTTGCTGTTCTTTTGTTGAGTCTCAGAATGTTCACTCCAAAGAAGGGGAAGTCAGAGATTAAGAAACAGTAAAAGAAATTTCTTTAAAATCATTACTTTATAATGATTATAAAGTAATGGTTTAAAAAAATTTCCTTTGAGGCCTTGTATGCATAATCAGTGTGGTTTTGCCAGAATATTAGTCTTAGTTGAGCAACCAACCATGATTGTGATGAAACCTGCATTACCAGCTCATTAGGCATGCCTCCTGTTGCTTCATTACCTGTATAATTTACATATTTATCACCATTTATCATATTACAGTTTGACTCCTGACAACCTTTTCAAAGCAAATAATTTAAAAGGCTTATCTTATGCTCTCAATATATATTGTATAATTTTCTAGATGTTTCTGATTTTCAGAATCTACCTCTAGTTTGGAATTTGGTGCTATTTAGGAATTTCTCATATTAAAACTGATGACATAATGTATGTAAACTCTCTGATAAGGATCAGCAGGCTTTTTCTATGAGTATAGGAATTGGCAAGAGATCTGCTTATTAAATGTTTGACAATGTAATGATACCCTGGGTATTTAGAATGGTTTTGAACTTAACTTTGTTATGTCATGTAGAAGTCATTATAAGGTTGTGACATTAATCCAAATTCTTTATCTCATATGATTTTTAAGTGTTTTGACCTTTTTTGTTAAATTTGCGATTGACTCATAATTATATTAAATTAGTTATAGATTGATTGATTGATAACATTTATTTAATACATCAATCAAATTCAATAAATTGGTAATTTCTTTGATATTTTTAATTGCTTTAATATTTTCCTTCATCTTGGCTGTTGAGTTTTTGTTTGTGGTAATAGTTATGAATTTATGCTTTTGGAATAACAATTGTTTAAGGTACGAAGAACAGATTTCACTATATTGCCAATAGCTTCTAAAAGGTTTTGGGGGGCATGATTCAGCAAGATGTTGAATAAGGTAGAACCTGATGGTGGTCAGGTGACTAAACTTTGTCTATAACATAATAGTGCTAATATTCCTCCTGTGTGAAGTAGATGTAAATGAGAAAATAAAGAGGTGAAGAGTATAATATTATTCAAGATGTCTTCTGCTGGTCTGTTTTACATCACGCCTTGTAGACTTGATCATACCAGCTGTAGATTTTAAATTATAACAGTTCATTCGGTAATGTCAGGTGTACTTTTAGATCTCATAAGTTCCTGACATAAATGTATCAATTGCATAGTCTTGTATACATTTCTCCACACATTATTCATGAATCAAAAATGAATCAGGAACTGAAAATGAAAGCACTGAATAAAAATTTTTGTGAAGGCAGGAAATTGACTCAAATAGACTGGTAGAGATTAAATTATTCTGTGGTTAATACTGTATTATTGTTATATTTTTTAAGATAAATTTAAAGCCGTGATCTATACTTGCACCAAATCTTTCTGTGACTATGATTCTAAATTCATACCGTTATATAACAAAGTAGGCGTGTATGAGTACTGGTTTTTTTTTTTGGGCAGACAACTTAACCTAAATACCAATAGTTAACTTTGACATTTCCACAATATTCTATGTAGGCCTACTTTACATTTCAAATAGACTTTAAAAAGTTCAAATTAAATTTATCATGTAGCAACAACTTGACTAAAAACATTTTAAAAGATATATCAGAAAATCTCTCTTCATGCCTGATATTAAATTTCACCATTTAATTGAGAGAGATACAAGTTCTTGGAAG